AGAGAGTTAATTCATTGAGACTAGCAATTAGAGACTAAAAGTTCAAAGAGAATCGCTCAATGAAATAAAAGAGTAATCAAAAGTGGAAGATTGTATGGTCAAGGGATTTAGTTATATTAAAACATAATAAAAAAAGAGATAAAAGAGAGTTAATTCATTGAGACTAGCAATTAGAGCCTAAAAGTTCAAAGAGAATCGCTCCATGAAATAAAAGAGTAATCAAAAATTTAAGTTTGGAGAATTAAAGGAAGAAATGTCAAAGTATTAATATCATGAAGAAAAATTCTTGCCCAATGATTTCTAATGTTGAGCTAGTAAAGTAATTCAAAGTAGTCTCTCCTTGTAAATAAAAAATAAAAAAAAAGGTTGTTTTTTATGTAATGAAAATTTGGTAGTATGCATTCTATGTGGGTTTTGTTATCCTTTTATCATTTTTCTTTGTAAGCCAAATTTCACACTCTAAAACCTCATTACAACCTTACTAAAAGACCTTTTAATCTTTCTAATTGTGTTGCATTTCAATTGTGGAGAATGGATGACTAATTTTGCCTATGCAAATGTTGAATTTACATCATCTTATTTAAATGTTGATAATTTTTGTGAAAATCCATGTTTTATTTGTCGTAATTTGAACAATTATTGGTGTTGAAGACTTTATTAACTCATGTTTAAATTAACGAATGTGTTTTGTTTAAGAATTGAATTTTAAAAAGAAAATAATTAGTATAAGAAACACTCGGTTTATTTTCATGTTAATAAATTTTTGATATTTTTGAGATTGTGAATAATTGTTCCCAACTATATTAAGCTAGATTTGTTAGTTTGTTTTGTTTGTGTTTTTGTTCTGTTTTTATTTCTAATTTTATTGCTTGAGGACAAGCAATGGTTCAAGTCTGGAGAATTTTAATAGGTGTCATGTTTATAGTATTTTTTAATATAGTTTTATTAGGATTTTTAGTGTTTTTAATTATTTTAATTAGTTTTTATTTAGTTTTATGTACTATGTTTTTATTTAATTGTTGATTATTGTTTCCTTCATTGTTTTGATCTCATTTTGGAAGGTTTTTGTAGGGTGTTAATTAGGAATTTGCTAAATATCAAATAAGGAAGAATAGGGACCACAAAGCTACTACCTAATTCGAGTTTCATCCGAATTTATCAACATGGACTCCTAATTTGGAGAAATATGAGACTTAATTGTTTCTTATTGTAATTTTATTTCTTCCTCAACACGTTAGAAGACCTGAGAAGTCTATATAAGGAGAAATCTCTACACCAATTGGGGGACTATTCATTCATATCACATTCATTATTCCATATTCTATTCTCTACATCGTTTCTATTTACAAGACTTCAAGCAATCAAGTTGGAGATCAAGTTTCAAGGAAGCGCTACAAGTCAATTGTCGACTAGTTTTAATTTCTAAACTCTATTCTTATTTTGTTTTCAATATTCATGTTGATTATGAGAATATTTACAAGTTTATTTGAGTTTAATTTATTTACTATGTTGAACTAAACTCTTATATTAGGGATTTGATATATCTTAATTTTAATGTTCATTTATAATATTAGATTTGGTTTTTTTTTTTTTGTTCATAATATAATTTATTATTGCACTTAATGCTTCTAGAAGAGTTTCTCCCATAGATTGATTTATTTCATTAATCATTATTGGGAGAAGGGGTTTTGATAAGAAAAAGGTAATAAATTACATGGAAATAATAACTTGATACGGAAGCTATATGGTTTGACTCATGGGGGTTTTCATAAATTATGAGCTTAAGTTATGACTTCATAAATAATCATAGAACTTAATGATTTAATTCATGTTTGATTGTGCTATTGGAAGATAGGTAATTAGATCGAGTTAAAATAACTAATAATACATCGGAAGAGCTTGTTAACAATTTTTGGGTTGTTTTCCCTCTTTGAATAATTAAAATTGATTATCAAACTAATACAATAAATTTGATAGAATTAAGTGAAGTCAAAATCCCTAGTAGCCTTTAATCCTTGATCTCTTTTTAACAAATTATCTTATTTGATTTCTTTTTAATATTCTATTTTATTTCTTTTAATTTTACAATTATTTTTCTTATTATCGTTTAGATAATAGTAGGTTTGAATACAATTTTGGTATTTGATATACAATTTTCGTGGCAATGATACTCTACTCACTTTTTATTATTTGTTACGATTTCGTGCACTTGTAAATTTGCCTATCGGACGGCAATCACATATATAACATGAATTCACAAATTGGCAACATAATAGTACATTATTATGGTAAACCTAAAGACAGGAACTGGGGCCATTACATGGATTTTGGTCGGTCTTCATAAGGCTTAGGTTCCATAAGCAAGGGTTGATTGTTTTCTCCCATTCAATTTCATGTTTTAGCTAATGGTAATAGTGGATGGTGCCAACTGTTTTGATATACCTGGGGTATGAGACTTATGGTTGATGTATATTAGTGGCGAATCCATACAGTTAAGTAGAGCGAGAGGATCCATCCCTCAATATCACCAAAAAAGTGTCGGGTAGAAAAGATGAGAAGAAAAGACAATGATATGAATGCTAATAATATAAAATGCAAAACTAATAAGAATCAACTTCTTTTGAATCCAAAACTAGAGATTCTTGGTCCGATCCCCATTGAATTCATTAGACTGAAGACAACGATCAAGAAGTTACATGAGACTCATTAGTAATAGAGCACCGAAAAATAAATCAAACCTCAACCCTTGATTTTAGAAAGGCAATGTACCACCAAACCATTTGAATGTGGTCGAGGCTTTCATAGAAGCGGGAGTACTAACGTGCCATAGCACGAAGAATCAGATCCCTCATCATAGGAACCTAATTCACATACTAGGAACTGGGTACGAAATCGAATACAATCTCGGAAAGGCGTTAGGCACCCGAGCTCGCCAGCCTATGAGATGGCCTCCACTAGTTGTCCACACATTCATTTAAAAGTGTTTGAATTAACTTGATTGGGGCGTAAAAACATTTTGATTGTTATTTTATTAGAAAATATGGTATCCATAAAGCATTATAATACACTCATAACATAAAATTGAAAATATCCAAAGAAAGAGAGAGGAGAATAAAGTTACATCCTTTTCAGTCCTAATTATGTTCTATCCAATTAAAGCCCCAAAACCAAACCCGAGCCGTTCACTCTTAAGTCTAAACAAAACATAATATACAAATCAACATGTGTTGATCAATCAACAATATGAATGAGTTCATCAATGAACTTATTTCAATCCATCATCAAGCCACAACACATATAGCAATCATAATAGAAAGCAATAATCATAACAATGGCTACTGAATTAAAAAATCATAACAATATTAAAAACTCATATAGAAGCATCCATGGATTCTAACTCAAGCTTTTGAAAATCTAACCTTGAAGGAAAGAAGGATTGTGGCTATCCATATCAAAATCCATGAATTTTATTAATATAAGTGATTCCAATGATTTTGAGCTATCATCTAAGACCCAAGTATCGATGTCAGAATCAAGGAATCGATGAAATAAACATTAACATATTTAATTACAAAAAAAAAAACACAAAAAAATACATTTCTAAATAGAAACCCCATGCACCCTCAGTGATGATGTGCACCTTACGTAATAGCGCACCTAGTTTCACATACTAGAAAATGTGGAACGGGGTAAGAACAAGAGAAAAGGATTGTTGTCCATTGAGAAACGACATGCAATGGATGATACAGTGTGTGGCGTCAGGTACATCGGCATGCCACGAATAACCAGACACGACTAGCAGACAAATATCCTGGATGATCCTTGGTCTCTCTCACGTCCAAATGCTTAAAAATTGATTTTTACCAAACAAAAAGGGAAGAAATGAAGTGAAATGTGAAGTTAGGCGTTCGGATATTACCTTCCTTGAAGAAAATGAGCAAGATCAAGTTTGAAAGTTCAAGCACCCCTTTAAATCCAATCCTCTTATCCCAAATCTGAGTTTAGGCTCCTAGAATTTGATAATGTAAATCCTTTTTCGCTTTTATAGTTATTGATCGATTGGTTTTCCTTTCAAAAGTCAAGAGTTTTTTTTACAATCCAAAAAGTTCTTTTTTGATCTCTTCAACATTCCCCCTTTCTCTCTCATCAATATCTTCTATTTATAAGAGAAATGAAGGGATTAATCCTAATCCCTAGGGCTTAGATGGCACTAAACCACTAATGTGCCTATGGATTGGTGGGCCCAATAAGAAGACCCAGTCCACTTGGCATGCAAAACGAGACACTATAGCGGGACGTATAACGAGATAACCCGTACCATGCCCTTAACACTAAATTAAATGCAAGGATGAAATCCATTTTATTTGTTTGTTTTGTTTGGGGATTTTGGTTGATATTCATGGGAAGAGAGAGATGATGAAAGGTAATTCTCAATATTATTAAAACACAGCATTTTAATAGATTAGACTTGGATTAAAGTTAACTTTTGTGTCAAGTGTGGGTCCATCACTTGTACTTTTTTTATTAATCTTTCAATTTAAAATTTTAAATTGGAGTATAATTATAATAAAATTTTGAAATTAGGGTGTACAGAGGTTAGATTAAATTCATTTTAGGATAGAATCGTTAAAACACACAAAGTTTAGGTATTTTAAATCAATTATTCAAAAAAAAAAAAAAAAAAAAGGGAAAAAAAAAAAAGGGTACTTGATTTCCGTGGAAGGAGACCCGTGGCTCTTCATATGAGCCGATCTGGGTGGATCCCAAAACCTTTAACACGTGCGATTGTACAGCATATCTTCAGCCGTTCATCTTGGAGAAACAGAAAAACCCTACGTCGACTCGAATTTTGGCACTTGTGTAATTCCAAAAAGAAAAAAAAAAAAAAAAAAAAAAAAAGGGTACTGATTTCCGTGGAAGGAGACCCGTGCTCTTCATATGAGCGAATCATGGGTGGATCCCAAACCTTTAAGCACGTGCGATGTACAGATATCTCAGCCGTTCATCTTGAGGAAACAGAAAACCCTACGTCGACTCGAATTTGGCACTTGTGTATTCCAAAAAGAAAGGTGGAGGCTTTTCTCTCCCTTTACCCATTCTCACTTTCCCAGAAAAATATCTTCGAGCATTTTCTCTGCACAACTTGCTCTTCAACGGTAAAACCTACTGCCTTTGTTTGGCTACCGAGAAAACACCACACTACGAATTCTGTAGTTTTGGAACTACACGAACCTTCCATTTTCTTATTATCTAATTTATTTTAATTCCCCTGTTTTATTTTCGTTAACTAGGTTTCTGCAGTTTTAGGGCTTAAACAATGGCGGATGAGAACACGATAGCCAACGGCATCGCACCGGAGAACAATGAACAGACTGCAGAGAGCTTCTACGATGCCGATGAACGCGAGAACGGAATCAAGATGAAGCAAAAGATCGAAGCCTTAGAGAAGGAGAAGCTCTCCATGGCCAACGAGAACGAAAAGCTCAAAGGTCAGATTCAGCAACTGACGGTGGAGGTTGAATCAGTGAGATCGGAGGAGTCACAGTTGAAGCTGAGGCTCGGAGTGATGGAGAGAGAGGTAGAACAATCGGAGGAAAGCAAGAGAGCGTTGGAATCCATTGCTAACAGAGCTGCACAGCTCGAGACAGAGGTCTCTAGGCTCCAACACGACTTGATTTCAGCAATTAGTGAAATCGAGGAAGCTAATTCTGAGATTTCTAAACTGAAAATGGTTTTGGGGGAAAAGGACGGAAAAATTGAAGAGCTAAAGAAAGAGAAATTGGAGATAGAGAAGAAATTGAAGGAATTGGAGAAAAAAATTGGGGTTTTAGAAGTGAGAGAAATTGAAGAAAGGGGTAAGAGATTGAATATTGACGAGGAGATGAGAGAGAAGTTAACTGAAAAAGAAAAAGAGATTTATCAGTATAAGGATAGATTATTGGAGCTAGAGAATGAGGTGGCAAAGAAGGAGCAATTGGAGGCAAAATTGCAGGCTTCCGAGGAGAAGGTGAGGGAAATGGAAGGAAAGATGGAGGAGCTGAAGAAGGAGGCGGTGGAAGCAGAAAAGGCCATTTGTGGATTGAAGGAGCGGACTGTGGGGGTTGTTAATGGCATTCAAATTGAAAATACAGATAAAGGGTACATAGGGCTGAATAAGCAGTGGCCAATGCTTGCAGTTGGTTCCACAGGAGCACTTGTTGCTGCAGCTGCTGTGGCGTATGTTTGCTATGCTAGGCGGTAGTGATTCAGAGGTCAGGATTTTATTCAGTACCCAGAAAAAAAGGGAATATATTTCAATTTTGTGAGCTGGGATTTCATTTTGCTTGGTCTTGCTTTTGAGCTTATTAAGGGTTGTGGTTAACACTAATTCTGCCCTGTTTTTTAAATTTAAATTTTTCCTTAATTGTTTTGCTTCTTATAGAGAGAGGAATTACATGATATCGTTTTAGTGCACCTTTTAGGCACCATCAACATTTGCTTGTTAATAGGTATTGTTATTTGTTTGTTTGTCCTTCAAGCTTGAATTCAGTTAAATTATTATGTACTACTGAACACAGTTTTTTAACGATTCCTTTAGCATCTCCATTTATAGAAAACTATGGGTTACTCTGTTTTTTTTTATCCCTGTTTTCAGATGCTGTATTTTTCGTGTTGAGCCCTTGCAAGCCTCTTGCTATTTTCTTTTCTTTATTAAAATCTGTGTGTTCTTTTGTGTGAAGTGGGTAAGTAAATTCTATTGCTTGTTATATTACAACATTGAAGCATTGAAACATTGACTAGATCGTTTTGCCATTTGCTCCTTGGTTTCAATTTACTGGAAGGGTCTGTTGGGAAAGCACATGGCAAAATTCATTTGGGAAGAAGCTTTTTTTTTTTTTGTCGCTACGTTTCCTAGCCAATCTATATCTATAATTGGTAATTTTATAATGTCTAAGAAAAGCTAGCATTCATGGAATAATAGCACTCTGGTTTCTAATGAGGGGCTTATTTGCATAGCGACATTCTTGTGTGGTCGTGGGACAGTCTGAATTACTTTGGATGCTCTTTATATTCCATTGATGTCATATAGCTCTGGACTGCGTCGCTTTTGGTTTGTACGCATGTCTTCCGCTTACTAGCTTACTAGCGATGTTGGACAGTGTCAGGTTATAAAATGGGATTGCATTCCCTTGAAGATATTTTTTGTTCAAATGTGGCTTAAATTTCTATTCTGTCACCATGATTCCCAATGAAGGGAACTACCAAAAGCATTGAGTGGATCAGCTAATTATATGCTCTATGGAACTAACAATCTTCTCCCCAATAGAAAAAGTGGGTTTGAACAAATGCTTAGTTATCCATCAATTGGTTTCTCCAGCTAACCTAAAAAAGCAGAAACCTACTTAACACTGTTAAACCGGTCATGGGCTCCTCGACAATTATTCTCATCTTTCATCTCTCTCGCTTTGCTCCTGCAGATGAGGACCCACCTTTTCTTCTGCTTGTTGGCGTGTTCATAGAACTTGAATTTTCAGTGCACCTTTGTATCCATCTCAACTTGGATCCCTGTAAAAATATTTGTTATAGATATTAGCGGTCATCAATTGTCTTTTTAATGTGGAGTGAAAATAGACAAGAAAATATTGCTGAACTTTTGACTTTAACTATTACGTTCAGACTGCAGCTTCTCACCATCAGGAGCTTCCTCCGACAGATCAAGAGGAAAAATGAAATCAAATCAGATAAAACCAACATGTCCAAACATGCAATCAAAATATGGCACTCCGCAAAGAACGTTATCAACAAAGTAATAAATAGTCATCGGCTGAGAATAATTCTACCATCGGAAGCAAATAATCTTATGGTGGCATCATCAGGCTTATTAACTGGTGGAGTTCAATGGAAAGTTACTAAAATTTTCATTCCTTGTCTATTTTCATTGCCAGTTCCAAACAGTGGAATTTAACTTTTCCTTGATATTTTACTCCCTCATTTTCTTTTTTCTCGTAAAATAATTTGCTCCAAACAGGCACCAAGTCTGCAGCTTGTAAATCCTAAATTTGTTTCCTCCTTTATATGCTCTAGTCAAAGCTGCCTTGACAGTAGATGGGATGCCATCCAATGGATTTGACTGGCCCTAATGGATAAAACGAATATAAGATGATCCCAATGTTTATATACAAACAGTTCTTACAAAATAGACAAGCTCTACAATAGTATCTGTGTCCTCCTCATTTAACTTTCCAGTGACTTTGCACCGTAAAGGCACCAAAACAATTCGCCTAATCACATCAAGTCAAGCAGCAACTTCCAGACGTAATTAAGTACTTACAGACTAAAAGAATCTCTATAAATTGTGAATATAAGAATTATATATATATATATTTTTTGAAGCCATTAACTCTGTTCCAAGTTGAAGAAAAGGATGAAAATACAGTATATTTTAAACCTTAGCAGCACTCGACCGGAAAGTTATTCAAGTCAAAGACTCTAATTTCGGAAATCTTAAGCCTATTTAAATTCTAGTTCAGGCTGAGTCTTAGAGATCGGATCCTAACATTCATACTCCTTTAGTCTAGTTGTTGGATAAAGCTCAATTATTAGCTGCATAAATTAATTGAACCAAAAACCCACTTAATTACTAAAAATGAATATTCAGTCGTTTTGATTTCAATCGAATTGGATTAATATAAACCAAAAAAATCAAAATTTTTTAAAGATGAAATTGGTGTGAAACCTATTAGAGTAGAGAATTGAACCAAACCAAATTGGATCATTTGTTTCAATTTATGCCAGTTTTTTACTATTCTTGGGCATGTTCAGATTTATTTTTTGGTTTTAAAATCGAACTAAGTCTAAAAATATTTCTTTTTTTTTCTATTAAAACTGAAACTTAAAAATAAAATTGAATCAAACTCAATCAAACTGATTGGATCAGTTTTAGCTAACTGTGTATCATCACTAAATTGACCAATATTGTAATAGAAAAATACAAGTTTTACTGGTTCTGCTCAAGGAGACTTGACTTCTTCTTTTTCAATTTGCAATTGCAAGCTTGATTTGACCATTCAACAGATTCCACTATTTCATTTCTAGAAAATACCTTAAACTAATGCTAGCGTATGTTACCATTGCGAAGGTTTTCTTATTATTATATATCATTAAGTATAGCAGAGAAGATAGGCAAATCAAAGTACAGCAGCCATGGCCAGGCTTCCTCCACAACTCCCTCTTGAAATAATCATCGACATACTCTCAAGGCTACCTGTAAAGCCTCTTCTACGGTTCAAATGCGTATGCAAGTCATGGCACTCTTTGTTCTCTAATAATACTCAATTTGCCAAAATCCATCTTCAACGTATAAAGCAAGACACCAAAGTCAACAGCCACAAGCTCTTTCTCTTCACTCTTCCTCCGATATCCATAGATCACGAAGCATACTGTAATAATTCCGATGGTGATATTGTAACAAGAGAGCTGAGTCTTCCACCAAGAGAGCTGACTCCAGACCTGCTATTTGTGAAATCTTGTGATGGCTTGATTTGTATTGTTTTTGACTCTAAACTAATTGTGTGGAATCCATCTACTGGACAGTCAAAGGATTTGCCCTTGACGAATTCATTTTCAAATGATATGGTTTTCTTTGAATTCGGATATGATTCGCGTCTTGATGATTATCAGATAGTAAAAGGAGTTCATTCTGGTTCTGCTGAAGCAGTTAAAATGGAGGTCTTTTCCTTGAAAGGAAACACATGGAGAACAATCCAAGTAATAGCTCCTACAACTGTTTCACGGCTCGAACCAACTTCTCTGAACAACGGGGTTTTGCATTGGCTAAGTAAAGTAAATGATCCATGCAAAAAGTCTGTAATTGTTTCAGTCGATTTGGCAGAGGATAAATTCCTGGAGATGACACCAGTACCAGATTATATTCCCAAAGATACGAGGATATATATAAAGGTTTTAGGAGATTGTCTATATGTATACGCTATTGACACAGTATATTGGGAGGCATGGATAGTGGAGGGAAGTGGCACCAAGGCTTCTTGGACTAGACTGTTCAAATACTGTTCAAATCCTACAGTATTCGTTTGGACTGAATGTTCGCTTCAGATATTATGGGTTTCAAAGAATGGTAATATACTGTTAAACACTGATGGATGGGAATTAGTTTTATATAATCCCAAAGAACAGACTTTAAAACAGTATAGAGTACCTAATGATGGGGACGACGGGTTTTTGGCGACTGCTTACATGGAAACTCTTGTTTCCCCTAATGCTCCTGATGGCTCTATAATAGAATAAAGCATGTCACGCCCTTTCCTTTGTGGTGGATTTCATTTGTGTTCGAGTGCCTTGTTGATTTTTATTATTATTATTATTATTATTATTATTATTATTATTATTTACATTGCAAGCAAATGAATTTACTATGCGCAAATTTCCTAGCTTGTGTCTATACCATATGCTTGGCTTGTCTATTGTAATATAGTGGTTTGCTTATGCATTAGTCTAATGGTAATCTAGTGATTTGTTGAGTATTTGCTCCATATTGTAAGTAATTGATTAAAATATATTCGCCAAATGCATAATAAATTTATCACTATATTTTTTGCAAAAAAATTTGTAAGACTTTTAACTTCTATTTTAATTCAGTAAATACTTTAATTTGTAAAAATCCATATTTTGACTTACAAAGTCATTTTATTAAACGCTCTAATTTGTAAATTTAGATCGATTATTGTATAGTTAAAAAATATGAAAATTATTAATTTAATAGTGATACTAACGACACATTAAATAAATATTAATGTAGAAATAAGTGCAATGTTATCAAAAAAATCCTAATTTTAGGAATACAATAGATCCTTGCAAAGTTAGAGCTATATAGTTTTTAAAGAAAATTAGAGGGTTGAATTTATACTCTTGGCCTAAAATAATTTAATGTATGTGTTTGGTGTAAATACAAACCGAGCTTGTAAGTCTGGTTTCTACTAGGCCGCTAAAGTGGGTTACAGTAAGATGTTCCAATGGATGGTGGATCATTAGCCCAAAAATAGTAAGATTGGATAGAGAGAGACTTTTTTTTTTTGGGGGGGCGGGGGCGCGGGGGGGCAAGAGAGAGAGAAACAAGAGAATAAATACAGATTATGTTCTGTTATGATTTGTTGTGTTTCACACTATAATTAGATACTAAGATTAGGCCTATAATGAAGATATTATATTTTATTTCTTTTCATTTCTTGTATCATTCTTCATATTGTTTAATTCCCAAGAGCTTGAAGGAATAATCAAGGATTGAGCTTAAAACACAAACCCTTCTTTTCTTTCTAGTTTCAAATGCTATCAAAGCCAGAAAAGGTCTGACCTAATTTCTCTTTCCCGAATCTTCTTCTTTCTTAGCCTATTTCTGGCTCATTATATAAATACCATTGCCAAGTAAACACACCTATTTCTTGGACTTTAATCTCATCGCCATCTAGATCACTCTAACAGTTCACAGTGACCTTAGACCCAAAATTCTAGTGTTGAAATCCTTGCCATCCGCCACCACGCGCCACCACAATGCTTTAGGCTCTGATTCATAGGCTGAAACATGAGCACTTTTTTCAGTGAACTTTCTGACCATTTAAGATACCATATAGGGGTGTAAATAAGCTGAGCCGAATTCAAACCTATTAGGTTTAAAGTTTAGTTTGATAGATTTAGCTCGACTTGAAATTCGACAAGCTTGAAAATTTAGGCTTGAGGCTCGAGTAAGCCTAAAATAGATATTATATATGTATATATAAAAGCTTGACAAGACTCGACGAGCTTTCAAGCTGAACATCACTAAGCTCAAGTTTGACTCTTTTACTAAGCAAACTGGCTGGAGCTCGAGCTTGAGATCTATTTGAGCTGAACTTTTTTGAATTTTTCAAGCCAAACTTGAACAGTTTATGAGCTGGCTCAGCTCATTTACACCTCATAATACCAGCAGAGCCATCATCTTCGGGCAATCACTCCTACCCCTTTCTCACTCTTGGGAAGACCGTCCTTTTTTTTTTGTCAAGACACAAACAATACCTTTAGGCCTATTTCCCCTCCTCTAATCGGAACACATACCACAAGAAGTCCAACATTGTCATTTCCCGCTTCTTTAATTTCAATATGCTTGAGAACGGTGAATCTTCAAATCCAAGTCTTTTTATACCTCTTTTCTCAAATTCTCCTACTATCACTACCCTCAAATCAGGAGTAATGATAATAATTATGTGTTGGTCTGCTTTAGTAGAGTTATGGCTGATAGGACAAAGATATGATGACTATTTAATGAAAAAATGTCATTAATATTATTGCTATGGATAAAACAAATTAGTCCAAAACTGATGCACAATTATGCAGTTTTTTATGGCATTCCCTTGCTCCTAAATTGGCTAAATCATTCAAAAAAATCCTAAATTTTGCGGCTAATTTTAATTGTATCCTAATTCAACTTTCTTCTCTTAATACCCTGAACGTTAACTTTAGTTACAATAGCATCCTAATTTCAAACTGTACCCAATATTAAAATGAAAAATAATATTTTATTTTTATTCATTAAATTGGACAATTTAATGAATAAAATATTATTTTCAAATTATACCCAATAATAAAATAAAAAATAATATATTCATCTTAAAAATAAAATACTTTTCATTTATTTATATAATATTGACAACAAGTAATGATTATCTAAAAATAAATTTGTGTTCCTAATGAATAAAACCTATTTTTATAAGAGATCTAACTTAAATATAATTTCAATAAACCTAACTGAAATTTCATGCTTAAAAAATGACAAAATAAACACCTAAATTACTATTCTATGCTTATAACTAACTAAAATTTATTATTTTACTTAGGTTTTTTTATGAATTTTGAAAAAATTCCTAACCAATATTAGTTAGGGTATCGTTAAACAATGGGTTTTTGGTTAACCTGACCATGTGGGTCCAACAAAAATAATATTTTATTCATTAATATTTGATACAATTTGAAATTAGTGTGCTATTGTAATTAAAGTTAAATTCAAGGTACTAGGAGAAAAAAAGCTGGATTTAGAGTACAATTAAATCTACCCGCAAAATTTGGAGTTTTTTTAATGATTTAGCCTCCTAAATTAGTCTCTCTATTTCAATCTTGTAAAACTTATTGTATAGTTTGGACTAAAGCCAAGCCATTGTATACAAATGACATACAACATATATACAAAATCATTTTTACCATTGTCAATATGCAGTAAAATCAACAGGATATAACAAGCTATCTTGGACAAGTTGAAAGTTGAGAGATGAGTTTAATTCTGTTATGCCTTACTCTGATGGTCATGCTACACAGAAACAACAGAGGAATAAGTTCTTCATGGTCTTGGCTCTAATAGGTCTCCGGTCTTATCTCAGTTCTGTGCGCGATCAACTACTGACAGGTTCTGTTATTCCTACTCTAGAATATGAATCTGATAGACTTATTTGCGTTTCTGCTACTCCTGATCCGCCTCCTAATATTGAGGCATTTGTGTTTGCTGTTCATAATGGTAATCTGAAATCGAAAGGTAAGGGGTCCAAAATTTAGTTAACATTATTTGTTTTTTCATTTAATGTATGTTTTCCACTATTCCTCTTGCATTTATTACAATCTAGGCCTATACATTTTACAATGGCACTCTCATGTTGTTTACAAGGATATAGTAGTAAATATACTGATTTGAAATTCAACTTTATTTGACAAGGGTATTTTTGATAATTGACTTTCTAAAACCATTAATGATCCGGATAAAACCACCTATGATTCGGATCATTATGAGCCAAAAATCTTTTCCGTATATATATAATTTTGTTTCAAGTTGAAGAAAAGGATGAGAAGAGAGTATATTTCAAACCTGAGGCAACACTCTACCGGAAAGATTCAAGTCAAAGACTCTAACTTCGGAAATCTTAAGCCTACTTAAGTTCTAGTTCAGGTCGAGCCTTAGAAATCATAAATCATATTGTAACATTCATACTCCTTTAGTCTAGTTGTTGGATACAATTCAACTATCAACTCCATGGATCAATTGAACCAAACATTCTCTTAATTACTAAGAACGGACATTCAGTCAGTTTGATTTAAATCAAGTCACATTAATACAAACCAAATAAATCAAAATTTTTGAAGATCAAAATGGTATGAAACCTATTAGAGTAGAGAATGTTAGATTATTTAATAATCTATATGTGGTCATGTGATCAAAGGGCTGGTTCTAATTAAGGTGGCCCAAGATGATGATTATTGGGCTTAATGGATAAACACCAAGATGATGATTATTGGGCTTAATGGATAAGCACCAGTTAGAGTTTTACTACCCTTCGTCTGCCTTATAAAAGATTAAGGAAATTAGCAACGTGGGTTAAGAGAGTATGACTACTACTTCAAATACATTCGGTGATAAATTGTTTGAGAGAGCGTGAAAAAAAAACTTCCGTGTTGTTGATAATTCTTTGACTATTAAGAGAGCACTTACGGACAAAAGGTGAAGAAACATAGATCTACTTTACGGTGAAAATTGAATTGCCGCAACGAGGTAATCCATAACATAGATATGCTGTTATGGATCAAGGTACGCTTTCGCTTATTGTGTATTCTTATTGAACAATTCTTTGGACTATTAAGAGAGCACTTACGGACAAAAAGGTGAAGAAACATCAGATCTACTTTTACGGTGAAAAATTCGAATTGCCAGCAACGAGGTAATCCATAAACATAGATATTCATAACATAGATATGCTGTTATGGATCAAGGTACGCTTTCGCTTATTGTGTATTCTTATTGAACAAATTCTATGAACTATAAGATCTAGGCTATATTAAAATTATTTTTAACAGATAATTGAACCGAACCAAATTGGTTCATTATTCAATTTGTTTCAGTTTTAACTATGTTTGGACAAGTTTAGATTTATTTTTTGGTTCTAAGAATCCAACTGAGTATAAAAATATTTCGATTTTTTCTATTAAAACTGAAACTTAAAAATTAAATTGAATTAAACCAATTCAATTAGTTTTACCTATACTGTACTAATCCTTGTCAATTACAAGCTTATATGACCAGTACTGTAAACGGAAAAGACAAATTTTACTGGAAACTTGACTTCTTTTATTACTTTTTCAATTGCAAGCTTAATTTGACCATTCCTCAGATTCCACTAGTTCATTTCTAGAAAACACCTTAAACTAATGCTAGCGTACATTACCATTGCAAAGGTTTTCTTACTGTTATATATCATCATGTATAGCAGAGAAGATAAGCAAATCAAAGTATAGCAGCTATGGCCAGGCTTCCTCCACAAATCCCTCTTGAAATAATCATAGACATACTCTCAAGATTACCTGTAAAGCTTCTTCTACGGTTCAAATGTAAGAA